GGTTGAACTGGACTTCCAGTTCATGGGACATGAGGAATCGCACAGCTGGTTGTATTGTGTCATCTAAGGATGCTCCTCCAATTTCTGTAGCCATGGCAACCTTAAGTACAATGACAATAACAGGACAACATTTTGTTTTTGTTCATCAGTTTGTCATTATATCACTCTTATGTGCTAAATTTTACTAACATATTTATCTACCTTTTTCAAATCATTATAAAGTGATCTTCACACGCTGATCCTCTTGAAGCCTGCAAAAATATATATTTTATTAGTGCAATATAACATTTAGACTTTTCAAAAAAATAAAAAAATTAAGGCAAAACAGCCTTTGTATAGATTAACTACTGAAGCCTTATATTGTAAACACTGAACAGTTTTGCAATTATCCTAATTTCTTTGTTAACGTGACAGGACTAAGACAGTAGTATTACTCTTAAGAGAAGTTTAGAAAATCACTATAAATGTAACTAATAAAGCCTAAAACATTGTACATATAAAAAAATTAGAGCTACAATTAAATATAAGTACATTTCACATAACTGCTAGCTAAATATTGCAAAAATATCAAAAAGAATTTCTTCATCTTTCAATATTGTTTCAGGCTTGGCCACTGATTGACATGATGGGTTTCAATTTACGGACCCACATGCAGTAACCACACGTTGGATAGGGATGAGTGAGTGATTATTTACAACAGGACAAAATAAAATCTATTTCCGGACATCAGCGGAAGGGTGAGGACCACTCGACCAGGTTGGCCTGAAACGAGAACTTAGTTATGACGGGCTTAGAATGAGTGATCGGAGGGGAAACAGGAACAGGCTTACTTCGGTGCGGGTCTTTCGAGGCGTGGGTGTGAGATGCCAGGTTCCTGAGAGAGGGTGTGCAGCGGTTCCGAAGGTAAATGCGAGGTGGGAATGGAAGAGAGCTGGAAGCTCGAAGGGTGGAGTGGAGGCAGTGGAATCGGCGGAGCGAGCAGGCAGGTATTCACTGGTGAGTTCTCGAATGAGGCGACAAAAACCCCTAGGATCGAACAAACACAGAGACCAGGTGACTTCTAGTAGACACAGAAACGTTCTCAGAAAACTGTTCACAACAGGAGAGGCCAGAGTGACTATCGGTGTATGCAACCATCTAGCATACACCAGTAGAATCTTCAGTCAATCTAGCGTAGACTGAAGATTCTGCTGCTCCTCCACCTGTGCCAAGCTCCACGGCTCCTCACAAAGATCCTCGCTGAAATAAGATGCGACACTCACATACACACACAGGAACCCTGACTGATGACTACTCTAGACCAACACAATAGCGGCAGATTGAAATAAACTCTGACATAACAAAACGCTTTAAAGTGTCACACAACAATTAAAAAAAGAATTTAAAAATATGAACTACAATGCCTTCATCCTATTTACAAAAAACCTTTTAGGCCCAATATACTGAAACCACATGGGCCCCATATAGTGTTCCCATTTCTGTCCCATGCCCAGTTAGCCCACGTTAATGCTGAATTGGGCCCATACATTTAACCCAATTGAGCCAACAATATGAGTCCCATTTCGGTTAACCTTTTGAGCCTCACGCAGTTGGCCCAGATAAAACCCATGCCCTCTTATCATTACCTATATAGCCCAAAGCTAAACGATTCAATGCAGTTTTATTGAAAAAAACGACAATAATAATCTTGCATGGGTCCCAGCCAAACCAGCCTGAATCCATACATGAGACCCACCCATGCATGCTGATGTGACTGTGAGAAAGATTATTAAAAGCCCAAGTACATAGAATGAAAGCACAATAGTTACTCTTTTTAAATCATACAAATGGTTTTATTGTGTCCAGACACTTTGTAACAACCTCTGCTAGCAACATAGATTCTTCAGTGAACCGATTTCATTCTGCCTCGTTGGCGCTCAAATGAACCAATGGCAGCTCAACAAATAGAATGGCGGCGGTATTTGAAAATGGTTTGGCCCACAACGCTGCGTTTGAAATCGGTCTGCACTAAAATCTGCTTATTGTGTGTAGCTGTGTGTGTTAGCAATATCAGAAAAAGTATCACCCTAAAGAAAAGCAAAAATAACAATAACAATTAAGTCTCTTTTGGGATACTGTCGTCCGATTTGTTACGAGCAACAATTTTTTTAACAAGCGATTTAAAATCTCTCCCTAAAATTTGGTACTAGGTAAAACAGAAGAAATGTACTTACAGATTCTTTCGTAGATCAGCCGGCAGACTCCGCGCCAACGGACTGATGAAGAGAACAGGCTTGATTTTGAAACCGCATATCCATCCGCGGGTCATTTTACGTTTTCCAAGAAACACAAGATTAATTTTTGAGAGTGCTACATCGGTTTAACAAATGTAAAACCGATGTAGCAAAAGTTCTCAATGTAAATAAATACATTTCGTTGTCCTCCTTATTCAAATATGTTTTGGAACTATTTTCTTCAGTGGATGTGTAAAGTGCCTACCGGTACTTCAATTCACCAACCTTTATTGGCAACGGTGCCTCAGAGCAAACAATGAACAAAAAGGTAATTGGAACCAAATGAATCATTAACAGAAATGTTACGTTTTTTTATTTTTTATTTTTATTTATACTGATGACTTGGAAAATGTTTGCAAATATATGAAAAAACAGATGCTCAAAATTTTACTCTTGTCTCTCACTTGCTAATGAGTTTTGTTTATTTTCTAAACATTTTGTGATATTTTTCACAATGGTCTGATCTGAACTATTTGTCCAAATAAAAATTTAAATCTTGCTGCGAACAGGCTGCAGTAAACTCTATGGATGTCTAAACATCCAATTGATAAAAAATAATAATAAAAATAAAATAAAAAGTTTATTATTATTAAAAATAAAACAAGGACTAAGCTCAACCATGACCACTCTGTGCTTAATTTTGAGTAAGCACCAGAATATGAGTTTACGTATATATTCAAACAGATTATTTCAAAAAAAATGTTTTAAGACATTCAGACTGCAATAATAAAATGAAAAAAAAGTTAGGGGTTCAAAGTGTAGCAAGAGCAATACTGAACTGGCTTTTGCTTTGACACTGTTAAGTGAAAAGTTTGAAAGTGACAGGGTAACCACATTGTCGATTAAAATGTTCTACAATTTTGTCCCATTTAGACCATGAAAAAAAGTACTAGGGGCTACATTTTCCTGCCCAGGTCCAACCCATGTATGGTTAGCCCATGCTCATGTCATGTTAGTTTAATGTGGACAGCCCACATTGGGCTTCTCATGTGGGGCCCATGATACTGAACCACATGGGCCCCAAATAGTGTTGCCCATTTCTGTCCCATTTCCAGTTAGCCCACATTGTTGCTGAATAGGGCCCATACATTTAGCCCAAATGGCCAGCCCATACGGGTCCCATTTTAGTTAACCATATGTGTCCCATGAGGTTTGCCCAGATAAAACCCATGACCACTCATTACCCATATGGCCTACTACAAACCCAAGGGGGGCCCACTCATGCGTACTGGCTTGGAGACTGGACTGGACTGTTCTAGCATAAAATAATAAACATGAAAAAATGTTAATGGTTGAAAGTGTGGCTAGAGCAATACTGAACTGGTATAAAAAAATAAAGCATTGTAGCATTATTTTTAATGTTTTAAAATCCTGGTCCTCCGGAAGCCTAGTGTGTGTAAATGAGCCAAGCACAGAGATCATACAGTGAGCAAGTTTTAAGTTCAAACATTAGCAAGGCATGGATGTTCTGTTCTATCAGCAAAATATATCCTTGGGTGATCTCCAAGACGAGGTCACCTTTGTCCTGGAGACCTCGACAATGGTCAAGGTCACCAACCTTTACTATCGTCGAGGTTTCCTACAAGGAAAAAATTAAATTCTACAATTACCTTACATCAACTCCATTAGAGGCCAGCTGAGTAACAATTGCCTTGGCAAAGACTATAAAGCTGACATCTCGGGTAATTCTTTCCAAGTTTTGAGAATCTTGCTCTTGCAGCTTTTGCTTTGACATACAGTCAAAATTTTGAAAGTGACAGGTTAACTACAGGGGTTGGACAATGAAACTGAAACACCTGGTTTTAGACCACAATAACTTATTAGCGTGGTAGGGCCTCCTTTTGAGGCCAAGCTGCTATTGGCTCGATTCTTTTACATTTCATTATAATTGTTACAATTGTTCTCACTACTTGCAGTCTTTATAACTCAGAGGCTCAATATGTACAAACAGTTTTTTTTTTATTGTCTTTTTTTATGGTTAGGGTTTTTAAAAAAAATTTAACTTCATTTTGGTGAAATCCAGCATTGAATATTTTTAGTTTTTCTGTCCGACTTTTTTTATGTACAGTGATTGAATGACAAATATGCCGATTGGTTCATTACAGATCAATGATTGATCAATGAATCACTATGTGATCTCAATAGCACTTCTCATCTCCATCATTTCTACAGGATCAGAAAGCTTTGTGGGGTTTTTTCATAGTCTTCAGGGTTCTGGATGAAAACAAAAAACAAAACAATTTGAAAACACAGAAAATCAGGAAGAACATAAACATTGACCCAACTGATGAAATTTTCATACAGATTTACCTTATAGAAATAATGAGGACAAGCATAGAAATGAGGATCAATAGAGCCAACCTGCAGGTGATCGTTGACATTGATGGACCTAACATATTAGAACAAGAAAGAATATTAATATAAATCTGATATTGATCCGGGCTGCACAGTGGCGCAGTGGGTAGTGCTGTTGCCTTGCAGCAAGAAGGTCCTGGGTTCGATACCCGGCCCGTGGTCTTTCTGCACGGAGTTTGCATGTTCTCCCTGTGCTGCGTGGGTTCTCTCCGGCTTCCTCCCACAGTCCAAAAACATGATTGTCAGGTTAATTGGTCTTATTCTCCCTAGGTGTGAGTGTGTGTGTGCATGGTTGTTTTTCCTGTTTGTCTCTGTGTTGCCCTGCGACAGACTGGCGACCTGTCCAGGGTGACCCCACCTCTCACCTGGAATTCAGCTGGAGATAGGCACCAGCACCTCCCGACCCTGTTAGGGAGAAGGGAGGTGATTAGACAGGAAACCCGTCTAATCTTTTTATATATATATATTTATAATATAGTCAATATTTCAGACTTTGGCAGGAAGCCGGAGCGCCCGGAGAGAAACCTGCAAATATCTTTTTTATATGTCATTTATGAAATTTAATTACAAAATGTATGACTGACATTTTGTAATTACGTGTCAGAAATACATTTAATTATTTCTGAGCTTTTATTCTGAAATAAAGGCTCTAGGGAAGAGCATTATGAGAGAGGGGATTCAAACCCAGGACTTTGTTGCTGCAAGGCAACAGTTCTCCCAACTGAGCCACTGTGCAACTGTTTTGTTCACAAAATTAATGTTTTATTCACATCTAAGGAGAATTTACAGGCCAATTACCCAAACAGTCATGATTTTAGACTGTGGCAGGAAGCCGGAGCGCCCGGAGAGAAACCTGCAAACAGGAAACCTGTCTTATCTTTTTACCCATCCATCCCAGAAAATTTTCAGAAACTAATTTAGAAATTTCTAGCTCCTCTCACCTTTAATGCTTTTGAGAGGAGGGGCTGGAGAAAACTTTTAATTCAAATCTATCTCTTCCTTTCTTTTTCGTAGACATACAGAAATCCCCTCCTGTTCATGTCTTCACTGCAGACAGCCGCTGCAGTGAAGACATGATCATCAATGGCTTTTACTACCTGAGCTCCGTGAGGTATGCATGTGTAGTATTTGGATTTGTCAGAACCATTGCAGATGACCGATGACAATTTGTAGACTTCTGGTCCATGTTCTCCCTGTACAGTGAGGGACTGGTTGGGGGTCAGTTTATTGCGCTGGCCTAGTCTGGCTGACTGCGGCAGGTGGAACACCAACACATTGTTGTTCGTCAGGCAGTGCTTGTAACTCAGCTCTGCTCCACAGCCAGGACAAATTGTTTTGAGCCCTAAAGACAACCACGGTCTAAAAGTGTTTGGATGTTGTCCTCAAAACGAGGTGTTGGCAGTTCAATTACATGGCCATTGCTTAAGAGCTCCAAACAATTAGCCTGGCATGTGGAGCAGCTGCCCTGACTGAACAACTCTGTGTCGGTCTTTCCACCAAACGAGTCCAGCCAGACTAAAACCAGCTCCACCAATGATTTTACTTCGAATTCCCCGCCCTTTCCCAGGTCCCTCGCTGTCAGTTCTTCCAGGATTGGATTTATCTCCTCGGGAGAAACATGTTTGCCGGGATTGCGAATTGCTGATAGAATTAAACCAGAGCAGGAGGGAATTGGCGACGCCTCCAAGAAGATCTTCTCCTGAGCGAGACATCGCTTCGTCTCGCTCAGATTCAGGACAGATTGTAACGCGGCGTTCACCCAGCTGTTAGTCAAGTTATTTGAAAACTTGCAAAGGTTTTCTGAAACGTTCCTGTCCTCTTCGGTGTCCGGTGGAGCTTCTGTCATCTGCATGGTTTCTGCCCAAAACATTTGCTCCAAAAGGTCAACGTCCCCCTCCGGTCCATTGATCCTTGTATACTCATTCACTGTGATGTCTATGGGAAGTGAAAACTAAACACTCTATCTCCATGCAAGGAAGGCCACGGGAAAAACAGCGAGTTCCCAAATAACTGTCTGGGGAAGTTCAACAACCCTGGAAAACTTACTTCACATCTTGGTTCATTAGTTTGTACACCGTTTTCAGCTGCACAGAAAAACACCTTTACTGTGAATCAAAAATATTACATTTATATAATACATAAACGAATATCATTTAATATGAAAAAAACCTCTTCATCAGCCAGACTTGCATTGTCCCCAACGAGTTTGCTCTCTTCCTCAGAGAGAACTACCCCAGCCGGGGCAGAGCTCTCTGAGGGTGAGAGGGCTACCCCAGCCGGGGTAGCCTGGTCGTTGGGGACCCTCACAGACTCAGTGGGAGAAGAAACCTTCCCCGCCGGGTCGGTTTCTTCCATGTCCGTGCCATCAAAATTTGAATCCGAGGCACTAAAGTATTCCAACATTTTCTCCATGCCTGTTGTTATCATGTATCCGAGTCCCCAGCCGAGCGGCAGGGCAAACGGCACGAGAGCGTCAGAGAAATTAATCATAGCTACAAAACACTCAGAATGAAGGCGATGTCTGGATCCTGAATGTTCAATGTCTTGAGATTCCAACGTTTAAAGGCTCAGAACATCTTTGATCTATTGTGATGTATGTGATGTCATCAATGACCTCATCAATGAACTCATTGTAGTTCTGTGCCACGGTCTTCCTTCTGATCATTGCAATGGAAACGATCAGATCAGTTCTGCATGACATAAATTTATTTAGCATGAAGAGATTAACGATAGATTTATATTTGACTGAACTGTTGCATTCGTATTTATACATAATATTCATTTTGTGAGCAATATTTCTACACTTGAATTACTCGTCTGATCTTTAGTGTGTTTGACACAGTGCAGTGTGGAAGTGAACGACTGAAAATGTAATAAATGTTGCATTTTTGGCCCCAAGTCAAACCGAGCTCTACCAACTGTTAGAACAGTTTTGTGTTTGACTTACAATTCAGAAACCACCAGCTGCGTCCTTGTTCGCTGTGCAGGAGGCTCCACTTCTTCTGCTTTGGGTCTGACTCAGGGTCAAAGATGTATGCTTGTCTAACTGCGCACCTGGTGGCAGCCATTTTGTCTAACTGCGCACCTGGTGGCAGCCATTTTGTCTAACTGCGCACCTGGTGGCAGCCATTTTGTCTAACTGCGCACCTGGTGGCAGCCATTTTGTCTAAGTGCACACCTGGTGGCAGCCATTTTGTCTAACTGCGCACCTGGTGGCAGCCATGTTGTATAACTGTGCACATGGTGGCAGCCATTTTGTCTAACTGTGCACCTGGTGGCAGCCATTTTGTATAACTGCAAACCTGGTGGCAGCCATTTTGTATAACTGCGCACTGGTGGCAGCCATTTTGTATAACGGCACACCTGGTGGCAGCCATTTTGTATATCTGCACACCTGGCAGCAGCCATTTTGTCTAACTGTGCACCTGGTGGCAGCCAATTTGGCGCAAGTGTAAATGTTGAGTTATGGGCGTGGCCACAAGGAGCCTATTCGAATTTAAAGTGACAGAGACTCTAAAACAGCTCAAGTCTGATTCTGTTCATAAAATGTGATGAACATATTTTGAATGATTATATTCTGATTTAACAGGAATTTAATCAGATTAACTTTTAAAATAGAGTAAAAATTGTGATAAACACAGAGTATTAGGGCCCTACTAAGAAAAAATAAGCTATACTACAAGAAAAAAATCATAATATTATGACTTTATTCTTGGAATACTACTTTATTCTTTATTGTTTCAACTTCTGTGTGACTTTATTCTCATAATTAAATTTTTTTAGTGTCGTAGATCAGAAATCTTTAACACTGTACAAAAAATTTTAAGAAATCAACCCAGAACTCAAAATGTGATGCTTTACTTCTTAGAGGGAAAATCCTCCTAATGTTTTCTATTTAATGAAACCAAGTTAAAGTTGTGTGTAATAAATAAAGATTTTCTGCAGCTTTGATGCTGCTGGGAGACGTGGTGCTGGAGATCAACGGGTCACGGTGAAAAGCCCTGAGGATCTCCAAGGCGGTCAGGAGCGACGCCATCGACATGGTGGTGCAGAGAGGAAACGAGTTCTAGAAACTCCTAGTGATAGCACCGGTATCCAGAGCAATCTTGACTGCCAAGTTGCAAACCAAATAAATTTGTGATTTTGTTTCTTCCAGTGCATTAATTTGAAACAGTTTCATCTGGTTCTAAATTTACACCTGGCTGATCTTTAAACAGAAAGTTCAGATTGATCTCTATTAACTTCCTCACTTATAATAAACATGCAGAATTTCAGGCTGTAGCGTAAAGCTAATGTCGAGCTTCTCTGTGCTACAATCTAAAATTCAATCCCGAGTTTTTGTTCTGTATTCTCTGTTTAGCCTACAGTTTGTACGCTAACTATGCCTGGGATAAAGGTCATATAAAGGTCATTGGATGATTTAAAAGAGAAATGTTTACCTTCTACAACAGTCACTGATACAGAGGTGTTATGATGTCCTATCTTGTTCTGGACTTTACAGTGATAGATCCCACGATGTTCATTTTGTATGTTGGTGATGATGAAGCGTTCTCCTGAAGATTCTTGTTCCTCCTTCCTTCCTTGTACCAGGTGTAGTTAGCTGCTGGGTTAGCATCACTGCTACATGTCAGAGTCACGGAGCTGCCCACCATGATGTCACCAGACGGACTCTGAGACACTGAAAGAGATCTGGGAGCATCTGCAAGACAAAGTAGTATAATAATGTCAGAAATATAAAGTTAGTTAGTGGAAGACGTTCTTTAATGTCCGACTGCTTACATGCAACGTCAACATTGACACTTGACTTCTTTTGTCCCCTCTGGTTTGCGGCTATGCAGTAATATTGCCCAGAATCCTTTGAACTAATGGAGCTGAAGATGAGATTTTTGTTTGATTTCAGGGGTTTAGGGTCTTTTCCCCTGTACCAGGTGTAGCTAGCTGCTGGGTTAGCATCACTGCTGCAGGTCAGAGTCACCGGGTTTCCCTCCATGATCTCACCTGATGGAGTCATGGACACAGAGGGAACCTTTGGGGCATCTGACAAAAACAATAAGAGGACATTAACTAAGCATGAATGACATGGAAATACTTCCTGATATAAAAAAAACTGAAAACTTACAGAGAACATCTAGAAATCGAGGTGAAGAGTTACATCCTCCATGCAGGTTCTGAGCCTTGCAAGAATAATTTCCTCTGTTCTCAGAGCCGACAGCAAGGACACGATAAACCTCTGATCCATTAGCAATGATTTTATTCTCCTTGTACCAGGTGTAGTTAGCTGCTGGGTTAGCATCACTGCTGCAGGTCAGAGTCACTGGGTTTCCCTCCTCCACTGATCCAGAGGGCTTCACTGACACAAAACAGTTCTTTGGACCGTCTGAGTGAGGAAACAAAATGAAACCTGAAGTTGGATTTGTATGCTTCAAACTATATCATAGAATATATTAAAAGTTTATTTTATAAACTGGTTACCCAGGAATTGGAAGAATAAAACTTTGCCTCACTGTCTAATCTACAAACAGACAAACACCCAATTTTCTGTTTTAATCTGAAAATCAAAAAAACCAGACAGGAAAATCTGAAGGCCACGCTTGAAACTGAAAACATTTTCAACTTCCTGTCAGGACTTTCTGATTAATCCAGCTCAGAATTACATTTTGACAAATCTTTTGTGAAAAGGGTGAAAAATGTTGTTTAGTTTTTACAGAATCTACAAAAAGTCTCTATTGGATTTGACTCACATTTCACGTTAATATCGATACTTGGAGACGTTCGGCTGCCAAGGTCGTTTTCAGCTGTACAGTAAAACCTCCCAGAATCAGAGACCTGGATGGAGCTGAAGACTGCTTGTGTTTCTGTTATGAGAAGTTGACCATGTTTCTCTCCATTCACCCTGTAAAAGTTGTATTTAGCTGCTGGATTAGCATCACAGCTGCAGTTCAGAGTCACTTCAGAGCCTTCAACAGTTTCTGAGGGGGTCACTGACAGAACGGGGGTCTGTGCAGCATCTGGAGAAAACGAGAGAATAATACTCAGAATCCCAAATATCAATACATTTACAAATATGTAGAGATAAGTGTACTAAACTTGTGGCATCGCATTCAAAATGTCTTAATTTCAAATCATTTTTACACATTATTGTAATGAGATATTTATTTGCAGCATTTTGGGGAAACAGATTATTGTAACACAATTTGAATTGCAACAAATTAACAATTACAAAATATTGAAAAAAGTGAATCACTGTGAAAACTGTCAGGCTGCACAGGAAATCTGATGGTAAATATGTGGAGAGCAACAGATTAGGGTGATGGCAAAGAGGCTCTCCAACCTCAACGATTTGCAACTTATTACCAGATAAATAATGAAGCCACCAGTGGAGATGTGTGAAAGGTTTGTGCAGAGACAAGTTTCACTGCTGTGACCTCGCTGAAGAAACAAGAATCAATTGATTTTGATGTGATGGTTTTGTAGATAAAAGCAGATGCTTTTTTTTTCTTTTTTAAAACAGAAATTGCAAAAAATGTTTTGAACTTTTGAGATGCCTGTCAAGTCAGTGACTGTAACACATTTCTTGGTTGAATTTAAATATTTTTAGATCTAAACCTGCCTGGTGAATTAATATTTTTTTGTTGAACTAAGTACTTTAAATATTTCCAAGAACAGAGATACAAACTTACACACTGCAGGAGATGGAACGTCCTCATGTCCTTTGATGGCACATTGATATCTGTGTGGGGTATTAAATGAGGAATGGAAAATATTGTTTCCTTCTTTGTGTGTTTCTCCATCCACCAGCCAGACGTAGGAAACTGAACGAGGCAGCTGGCAGTCAGTGTGACATGTCAGCTGGATCCTGATTGGATCATCTAATCTGTTTACTTTCACCTGGAGCTGTGGATCTATGTGGACAAAAAGTCATAATCTCATGAAAATTACACAAATTTATTTAGAGCTTAAACTGTAATATTTGCAACATCTCAAAACCAACGGACTTAAATAGCAACTGTTACCTGTGACAGACAAAGAGACTCCAGGTAAACCCGCGTATTTTCCATTTGGATGGTTTGTTATGAACCTGAACTTGTACGTATTTGAGTCAGTTTGTCTCACATTAGAAATCTTCAGAGTGCAGGGAGTGTGTTTGCATTGGTATTCCACACGACCAGAATAATCTGGGTCGTCTTTCAGATCCACATAACCTCCATCAAACTGTTTTGTAAACCAAAATGTTTCCATTATATAAGTCTTAACATTGTCGTAATATGCTGGGTGATAATAGTTGCAGCTCATTTTCACCGTTGATCCTTTCGGGGCACAAATGTCAGGACTATAAATCACTCTCCAACCATTCTGACCACAAACATCTGGAAGAAAAACAGACATTAAATAAACCTTAAATAAACTGTTCATGAAAACATATTTTAATGAATCTGAAATACATTTTCAAAATGATAATATGTATCAGCTGAAAACTTTTAACATTTGAAGAATCCCGAGTCTCGCCTACAAAATGTACAACACAAAAAACGTATGCGCTCTCGAGTTTCCACACAAAGTTAAAATCAATAATCAAAGTTAATATCAATAATATATCAATAAATAATAAATAATAATAAATAATAAACTAACAGTGGATGTTTGTGAAACAACAAGTCGACTCTGCATCTTTTAACTTGTTGCTGACTCCTAGAAAAAAGACTGGAAAACTGTTAATACTGTAAAAACATCGACTGCATGATGAACAATTAATATATCAATATATTGTGATGTCATCAGTGCTTATTAAAATAAATCATCTGGGGCCTTGCAGTTCTGGGTTTCATGGGGCCTTAAGCAGAACTGAACTTGTGGCTCCTGGTCCTGAACATCACCGTCATTAACAGGATCCAGTTCAGATTCTGGAATCTGGGAGAGTCAAGTTGAACCAGCCGGATTTAAAAGCAATCACTGATTATTGGTTGTTAATTGATGAGATGATTAGTGAACCAACTGAACTCAGACAAAATAATAAGAATAGCTTTATAGTCATAATTATAACTATTGGTGTTATTATAATGCATCAATAAATCTGATGAGGTGCTTTGCTGTCAGTCCTGCTGTGTTTGCAGCTGCAGACGATGTTTCCACATCATGACTCTCTAGTTGCTGTTTTCATTCACCATCTGAACACAAAGTGACTGTCAGATCAATCTGACGAGTCAACAGCATGTTGGCCGTTCAGGGTTTAATATTCAAACGTATTTTATTGATCCCCACAAAATGTCAATGGGAGCCAAATTTATCAGATGACCTAAACATTCAGTTGAACTGGGCCAACATTGAAGCCCAATTTGCTGAGAACTGACTGAGTTTACAGCAGATGTGTGAAGAAACGCAGGCTGCTCTCATTCTGTCACTGGAGCCTGTTTAGATTGATCTATAAATGTTTTCTCTCAAATGTTTTTCTTGTAAACTGTGTTTTCATATCCTTCATTTAGACATTTTTCTAACACTTCCCTCACACTCAAAGTTCCTCTTCTACACTGAAGAAAACCAAATGACTTATTTCTCTATATCTGAACCGAAGAGTCTGTTCTTTCTTTAGCTCTGCATGTTTATTACAGTGTACAGGGTTCACTCTTGTGCACATTATCACTTTGACTCGCTTTGCTTTCTGGATTTAAACATTCATCACAATTTAGTAGGAAATCCTAGTAAGTCAAGTATCAGGTTCAATTTGGCCTCTAGGGGACAAAACACATAACGTGTTTTACTCCAAATCTATATTTGTCAATCTAAGATGAACATTTCTTATTTATCTTGAATGTAACACTGACTTTTACTCATGACTTATTCATGTGCTTCAAAAGCATTAAATGATTTACTTTTCCCAAAATAATTCAATAAAATTCATCATTTTAGCTGAAGACGTTTTCATTGTGTCACATCTTCATTAAGCTCCTTGCAACACGACAAAGATCTGATCTAAAATATGAAACACTGAGAGGAAGCTCATGCAGTGAATTTTAAAGGTATTTGACTTTAATCGTCCATCCAGTCAGAGCTGATAAAATATTAGCAAAGATGACTGACATACATAAAATCTGTCAATCATAATCTGTCAGAAATGTTCATCAAAGTCTATCCAGATTATTCATAAACTTTATTCATTCTTAACTTTACAAAACAAACAGATTTATAAATATATGATAAGCAGTACCCTTTTTCCCTAAATCATTTTGTTTAATTATCTTTTTTTTCTTATTTCCTAAAATGTGAATCCAAATGCAGATTAGTTAAAGTTTCCTGCTCGTTACCTGCTGCCATGAGAAGGACAATAACTCCACAGATCGCTGCAGAGGAACTCATAGCTGCTCCTTTCATCTCTTTAAATGAACCAAAAAAGGCAGAAACTCTACTTTAGTCTCCAGAACTTTATGCAAATGACACAAAGATGTAGTTGAGAATGAGCTCAGTTTCCTTCCTCTTATCATCTGTATGTGTGAACGGCTAATGGGAGAACATGATGGAAGCAGATAACTAGTTGAAAAACGGGAACAGTTTAAAAACTTCAACTCTGATGTAGACAAAACAAGAAATGCCTTATGTTCAGTTTTATAGTTAAAGAATAATGCTTATATATTTTGTTAATTGTTTAAATGGATTTCTCAAAAATCATCCTTTATGTGGCCAAATATTGTGTTGGATTTGACGTGGATAAAAGTTTGTTTGAGATGAAACGCGAGGAAAAAAGAAGATGTGAATCCAGGAAGTTCCTAAGAAGAGCAAAGGAAGGTAGGGAGAAATATCTGGCAGATATTAACGTCCTTTACTCACTGAATTTATTTAAATATTATTACATTTGTCTGGCAACTAAATATTACCCCCTGTTGTCCCCCTCAGCTGCTGCCCTCTCCTGGTCATATTCTGAATTGCATTCATCTTCTACTGTACCTTGTAAAAACTTTTTATGACTCAACATGACTGAAGTGGAATGAAAGTGGCAGGTTGTTTTTTATCATTTAACAATAATAATACATATCTTAAATTATTGTTATTTCTAATTGGCTCCCTTTACTACAGCAACCGTCAATAAAGGCTCTCGTGTAAATTTCACCTAAAAAGACAAAAGTTCCATTCTTACTTGTAAAATTTATTTAAAGTTAATAATAAGCCAACTAAAAATGTTGCATAAAAAGTGAAACCCAGATTCAAAAGCACACATGAAACAGGATTCCTCCATTCCCATAGAGGGCGCTATATAGACTGAGAATGTAATGCTTTAGAAATAACCGGATGCCACCTCAGTGATGTTGATATCCCCACCTTCTTCAAATCAGACAAAACTGGTGCCAAACGTTTGTGCTGCTATCATTTTAAAGACATAAAGAAATGTTTCTAGAGGTCATCAAAGGTCAACCAACCCCATCATCAGTTCATAGTGGATCTGTGAATGTCATTTGAAATTGTGAACTGCTAACCTATGAACACGAATAATTTAATTTTAACGTTGATGAAATTCACTGGGAACAATGTCTTATTGAGATTGGACACCTCCTAAAACACAGATGGTGTAATTTAGTTTCTGATCAACGGAGGGCGCTATTGGACAAACTGTACGAAAAGTCGGTCTGGACAGTAACTATCTAGTCTGCTGTTTCCATCACAATTTCATGATCAACAGTCATCATCAACACTTATTTTTACGACTTTAAATCAGTGCACAAACTGTTTATAAAAGAACTGATATTCATTGACCTTTGATGACCTTTAGAAAAATGTTTCTTAATATCTTTAGAATGATAGCAGCACAAACAAAAATATTTGCTGCACAATCCAGCACAAACTTTGTTGAGTTGATTGACAGCCATTTTGTCTGATTTAAAGAAAACAGCTTATTCCAGTTTTCCCAGACTGTTTTAATTCAAGTCAGCTCTACGTTTTAGCACTATGGGGTCCCACAGTGACTCCAGGAGGGGCTTTGATTAAACCACTTTAAGACCTCAGCATGTGCTTTTAAATAATTACCCTTTCTGGAATCAGAAACTTGTGTAATAAACTGAAAGAGGCTTATCAAACAAACACTCCCAGATATAAGAGTTTGATTATGATAAGAAAAATGAAGATTTATTAAAAGCAAAAAGCAGAAAAAAAAACTGCAACACAAACAAACCCATATTTTTATCAACTTTCTAAGCTTTTATATGAGCAGATAAACATAATCAATATAAACTGAGGGATTACATATCAATATATTAACATGAAATATCAGAGTACAGTCTGAAGGACCTCAGTATTGTTTTTACCTCCTTTTACCACCAGAAGATGTTTCAGGCAAAAAATGACACGACTTCATCATTGGAAACATGGTTATTTAATTTATTTGCTAGTTCACTGGTGTTCATAGGTGTAGTCTCTGCTTAATAAAGAACAATTACTGTGTGTCATAAACTTAAAAATGAAGCAAAACCTCTGCTGTTCTGAAATTCAAAAATGTTCAGTTTCCTCCCGCCGATTTTCTTCTGTTAAATCAGGCGCAACTTTTCAACCAATCATCTTCCGGCTGAACTCAGCCCCGCCCTGTTTTCTGGCTCAGCCAATCACAGCCAGGGGGCGGTACTGGAGGAGTTTCTCTCTGTATAACAGCAGCTTCCCTCCACTGCTGCTGCTCACTGTTTGCTGTGAACTCAGAGAGGAAACATGCCTGAACCCGCCAAGTCTGCGCCCAAGAAGGGCTCCAAGAAAGCGGTCACCAAAACCGCCGGCAAGGGAGGCAAGAAGAAGAGAAGGACCAGGAAGGAGAGCTACGCCATCTACGTCTACAAGGTGCTCAAGCAGGTCCATCCCGACACCGGCATCTCCTCCAAGGCCATGAGCATCATGAACTCCTTCGTCAACGACATCTTTGAGCGCATCGCCTCCGAGGCCTCCCGTCTGGCTCACTACAACAAGCGCTCCACCATCAGCTCCAGGAGATCCAGACCGCTGTGCGCCTCCTGCTGCCCGGTGAGCTGGCCAAGCACGCCGTGTCTGAGGGCACCAAGGGTCACCAAGTACACCAGCTCCAAGTAGACCAGCTAATGCTAAAGCTAATGCTGCTACAGCTCGGACACAACAACACAACGGCTCTTTTAAGAGCCACACACAACACTGGAGAGCTGAACTCCTTCACTTTTCTACTCAGATTAATTTCAATATTGTAACAAAAATATTAAAGAATAATAAAGACTCGAGGCTATTTTGACAATTTAAAACAAGTGAATAGTAATTCTATTTAAAAGTATCATAATAGACGGTAGAAATTAAAATAATTTATTGTTTTCTAAAGGAAACTGACTCCTTGTCTCTGCAATATGGATCATAAAATCCCAAATGGGTTATAATTTGCAGCAAAACAATGTCCACTGTTTTTGAGCAGTTAACTTTAAGTTAAAACCTTTAGGTTTTAACTAAGTTAAATGGTTAAAGTTAAAACCTCTAGGTTTTAACTTTAAGTTAAATGCTCAGAAATGGTAGGCTGTTTGATGGTCTCAAAACATTTAAGGCCACAATTTAAGTGACATGAATTTACATCACATTGCAGCCAATTCTGTTGAAATAACAGAATAACAAATGGCATCAACGTGTTTCCTCTTTTCATGAAGATGGTTTCCTCACTTATAATTCCACATCTGAAGACCTGGGTTTTGTGTTTGTCTCGCCATGTTCTGCTGCTTTCTCTAGAAACGCGGAGAAAAGTGTCAGCGGGAGCTTTGAGCCGCTGCTGTTACAGTGATGGAGCAGCAGAGAGGAGGAGACGCTTCTGGACGTGTTGGGCTCCTGATTGGTGAGCGGCTCCTCCTGGAGCTCAGCTCCGCCTGCAGAGCTCCTCCCCCCCGGCTCAGTCCTCGCTGCTCATTGGAGGAAAAAGTCCCTTCAAACTGTCGGGCGTCCCGCTCTGCTGGAGGCTTTTCTGGTTGGTTGTTCCAGAGACTCCCGCTCTCTCTGCTCTCCTATAAGACAAGCTTTCAGCCGCTGCTCCACATTGACCAGAAAGAAGCTTCAGGATGAGCGGAAGAGGCAAAACCGGAGGAAAGGCCAGAGCCAAGGCCAAGACTCGCTCGTCCCGCGCGGGGCTGCAGTTCCCCGTGGGCCGCGTCCACAGGCTGCTGCGCAAAGGCAAACTACGCGCAGCGTGTCGGGGCCGGAGCCCCCGTCTACCTGGCGGCCGTCCTGGAGTATCTGACCGCCGAGATCCTGGAGCTGGCCGGGAACGCCGCCCGCGACAACAAAGACCCGCATCATCCCGCGTCACCTGCAGCTGGCCGTCCGCAACGACGAGGAGCTCAACAAGCTGCTGGGTGGAGTCACCATCGCTCAGGGTGGAGTACTGCCCAACATCCAGGCGGTGCTGCTGCCCAAGAAGACCGAGAAGGCCGCCAAGGCCAAGTAGAGTCAACACTGCTGGACCCACAAAGGCTCTTTTAAGAGCCACTCACCTGTAATCTTGAGAGCAATGCACTCCTGTGAGGTTTAATTTCGTTTTATTTTAAGGTTGTTATAAGATACTGCATATTATGGTATAGATCTACTACAGTGTTAAAAAGCATTGTGTCCTCTCTCCAGTATGAATCGAGATACTTTTAATTTTGTAACATCAAACCTTCGACCTCCAGGTTTTTCTTTTTCCTTTGAATTATTTGATTCAAACTTAAAATGGAATTTCAACAAAATATTAAGTTGCAACAATTTATCATTTGAGAGGAAATTGAAATATTCTGCATGTCAAATTGTTACAGATCATCTGATTGATATTATGACACATCAAAGTAAATTTTAATGCTCCTTAAAAAGCACAACAAAAAAATTAGTTTTTTTTCTTCATGAGCTTAAATTTTTTCAATTTAAGCTCATACTTCTCAAAATTAACTCTTCAATGCATAATTTTCCATGTGTTTCAGGAAACTATGTGAACGCTCAGAGACTCAAGTAAAAAATGCAGGACGTCCAACATGAAAATTCAAATTCAACAAGCAGGAATGAATAGAAATTAGATGTTTAATTCTTTAAAAATAAGTTCTGTCATTTATTTATCCCAGTCAAACTCAACTCAATTTGCTAAACCAGTGGTTCTATTTGAGAAACTTATGTTGAAAAATCACATTCGCTCACTTTGCTTCAACACCTTCATTCAGAAATGATATTGAATATAAAAAAAAAAAAAGATCTTACATGTATATGTCATGAAATACAAACTGCCAGAAAACATAACTGTGTTGAAAAGAGGGTTTCATATCTAATATGCAATCTAATCTAATGTAAAATCACATTTTTGTTCATGAGTACCAGAAACACAGAAGAGGGGAGAATTGAAGACGTGGTTTTAATAGCATTTACTTCTGTTCCTCGACTCCACAGAACAATTCCCGATGTGGGTTGGAGTGCTTGAGTTCCTGGAACCATTCGTTTATTTCATCTTCTAGGACAGGATCAAGACGGCTCTAAATTAACTCACCTGAACGTTTCATTAGAACGAATCCTTCAATCGGAGCCATAGAGGCTTTACTTCCCAACTCAAAGAGAAAAGTGGATCGTGTTTATGGTGTAAAACTGAGCTGGCAAAATAGTGAACATACAAAAAAAAAAAAAAGAGAAAAGAAATCACAAAAGATGAAGGCAGGTAATGTTAGAGTCGTGGTTCTGCTTCAGTTTGATGCCATAATCTGAAATGACGCAGACGGTTTTCTCCTACGGCGGTTTATATTCGGAGGTTGGTCTTGCTGCCGGTGTCGCTCTCCCCCTGCCGGACAAAATCCAACACGTTAAAATAAGATCTACATCCCGTGGAGCGCATCCAAGTTTCTGTATTTATTACTTGTTTCAGCAAGGAGTAATTAATTATTAGCAAACAAAGGTGAAATGAAACAGTCTAACAGCTCTGATAAGTATAAGATTTGGTGAAAATCAAGGTTGAAGAAGCATATTGTCTCAAAAATGCTCTAGTGAAAATAGAGACGGGTGGAAACGTCTGAAATTTTAGACACTGAAAGGCCAAGCTACTCCAGCCCACTGACATCTGAATTATCCGCCTGCTTCATTCATAGAGTCACAAAGTTGATGTGAATCCTGCACGTCTCAACTGAGTGCAAGTCCAAAACAGAAGAAAAGGTTTCTGAAAGTTCAGCTGCGATCCGTTCTTCTCTTTCTCATCAGTTCTCCTATTTCTTTTCACTTCTCATTTTCTCTTTAAATTACTTCTGCTCTCAAAACATTCTGCAGGAGGATTCTAGCGTGAAAACTTGTGAAAGTTTGAAAGTTTTCCCACAGCCTGCAACACGGCCGCAGCTGCGACGGATTGATTCGTATCAAAGCGTGTTCATGTTTTCAGGATGTTCCAATCAACGCCCAGAACCAAATTCAACAGAGAATCAGTGGCAGGACTGTGAGCTTGACATCTGCAGTGACCGTCCTTTCGGTTTGACCGAGCGCGAGACATTTTGTGGGCGAAAATGTCAGGCAGGCTGAGATCAGTCAAGGAGATAAGAGACATACCAGCTCTGACTGCATCCAAATGCGAATCTACGATGTTTTCACTTCGGGGTGCCAAATAAAAAAGCGCACCACACTTTTTAGCATGTTTTTTTAATATAAAATAACAAATAATACATGCCTAAAGAAACTCAGTTCCTATAAAATGCTGTGATTGCGGTCAAAAGCGATTTTACTGAATACTAATTTGAAGGGGTTAAATATTTTTAGTTATTTTATTAACATTTTCTGTCATTCTTTTGGTTAAAAAAAGCCAAATTTTGTCAATTGTGTGTGTTCGTTTTTCTGAACACCACTAAGATGGTGAAACCATCAAGGACTTGAATACTTTTCATACACATGTATATCCTGTTTGGAGTGGGATTCTTGGAATGACGCTGTCTTACCTCCATAATGGAGTAACGCCTGGTGCTCCGGATGACTTTTCCAGAGAGAACGCACACGGTGACGGAGACGCAAATCTGCAGGACGAGCAGGACCAGGATGACGCCCTGGAGCCCGTAAAGAAGCTCCTGACAGATGCAGCGACAAAACATAAAGACAGGTGAGGAAAAACAAACACCGGACGCTCGTCCCTGACCCTCACAGGCTTCAGGAGGCTGAATCTGATGGGTCAGGCAACGGTGTGTCTGAACCATTGGCTCGACACGCTCCAGTCGTCCGTTCAGCTCAGACTTACGTCCAGTCTCCACAGTTGGCCGGGGCATCTCCGCTTCCAGTCATCCACCATTCTGCTGGTGATGTTCCAGGCTTGAAGGTCGACGTTGGAGGTCTGGAAGTTGCAGACGACCTGTGAGGGGGGTCCGGTAGCCAGCAGGAAGCAGATGTAGCTCCCCGCCGCCAGGCTGAGCAGGACGCTGAACCCGTTGGACAGCAGAGACGCCCAGACCTGAAGAGACGGGGGACGACTTAGACACAGACAGACCCAGACACACTGACTGCTGCAATTTCATGTGAAATACAAAAAGAGTTAAACAGACTGCAAGGTTTTTGTGTTGTAAAGAGGCAAAACCTCACCAGTCTGACTGAAGTCCGTCTTCCTGCCGCCAGAGCCAGAGAGCCGGACAGCACGAACTGAGAGACACCAGGATTTACAGCTTAGATCATTAAACTTTAAGTCATTATGACATCATTATTCACCAAAACATACATTTTGTGTCAGTTATGTGTCAAACAAACTAAACCTTTAAAAAAAAAAAACACTATTGCACCTGTGGTGGCGCTGCAACAAGAACCACTGAATGAAACGACACAAAACCTCTGAAGGAGTCTTACTTCTCAAATTGTAAGCAAAAATGGAGTGGCAGCAGATTTTAATCAGTTGTAGGATTTCCTTTGGCAAAAGGCCAAGAACAAACTGCCTCTGCAGATTAGCAAGGCGTCATCTGCCGTGTTTTCAACACAGACAGATTCAGATAATTAAGAGAAGGATTTATCAAACTAGAAGAGCAGACTGTTCTGAATCCTGACCAGCAGGAGGCAGCAAAATGTGAAGGAAAGGATGATGACAGAAAGGAACGAGGTCAGTGTGATTCAGGAAGGCCTTTTAGGAAACCTGGAGAATTATTGTCCATTAGGAGCATTTTAGAGGATTACAGGACACTTTGGGATAAGTGATCAGAGAACCAGAAGACATGAGGTCTGGTTCAGGAGTACACAATGGGAAAGTTGATAGCTATCTGATCTCGGACTATCCTCAGTTTTGCATTTACGCACCAAAATGCAGAGGGAAAACGGAGCGAAGATCATCATGGCCCTGGAGAATAAAACCAACAGGCTGACGAGAGCACACAGCGTGCCGATGAAGATCTGAACCACCTGGAAAAGAAATGATAAAAACAAAAAAACAAGGGGATCAGTTGTTGTCTTCATTCGTCACTGGGTGTCCCTGCAGTGTCGGACTCTCACCCCGAGGCCCAGCGGTTCCCCCCGCAGGAAGACGCTCTCCTTAGTGTCTTCCTTGGAGGGGTCCGGCAGGGTCTTTACGACGGGCTGCTCAGCCTGGACCGTCGGGTTGGCAGGAGTCTCCAGAGGAATGGAGAGGTCATCTTTGGGGATGACCTGTGTTACGATCACGACCCCACCCACAGTGGTGATGGATGTGGACGCCATGATGGAGGTTCAACAGAGGGAATTCTGGGAAATACACCGCTGCAAATGAAATACAAGGACCCAAACATGATCATATACTGAAGCAAAGAGTTTGTGAGCTGCAAGATAAGTGAACATTTTTTCCTCCTTTTACGACATTGGACTATTCAGTCGGATTATTCAGGAAGAGTTGATTCAAAGTCTACTGGACCTCAGCAGGTGTTAAAATGGTTAACACCATGCAAAATACAAACTTGTAAACATTTTTATTTCACTGCTTTTCTTTGATTTGAACATCTCTCTCTTTCTGTCACTGCAAACAGAGAGAGATTCAGTTTGAATTATTTTTCTGCTTTCATACATCATTTTGCTTGGATGCTCTTTTTGCTTCCGGAGCTTACGGTGCTGTCTGATAAGTAGGACCAGTTGGAAGGCATGTATGGTTAAATTGAAACGATTTCAGATACGACACATTTGATTTTAATTGGAAATAAAAACAGAACAAGGCCAAATCTCGCTGCCCTGAAGATAAAAAAGGAGGGCGAACAGAGAGTTAATGTGGAAAACAGCAAAAAACAAGAAAAAAAGAGGCAAATTTCAGAGAAAGAGGAAGTCAGTTATCATGTGGTCCAGATGCAAAAAAAAGTGCTGAAATAGCCCTTTATTGAAGTTTCACAAATCAGATGATTGTTTCCCAACTTTGGTTTTTAAATATTCTGCTTTAGTTGAGAACAATATAGTCCAGGGTTGAAGAGCCTATAGGTGTAACTAGATGACTAGTGAATTTAACCAAACTATAGCTTTTAATTTTTCATTGTGCGACTTTAAAAAGCCGCACCGACCCATAATCCCGATGCGTTTAAGACCCTCGGAAACAGCAGCTTCGACATTTCGCTCTTCTTCAAAGAATGGCCATGTAATATTCTCTCCACATTTAAGATGTTTTCCTAATTTCTTTATTATTCCGAAAGAAGGGAGAAAAAACACCACAAAATATTTCTATTTGTTTTGTTAGACAACCCAACTTTGTGTGTAGATTTTATTCATACAGGCAATATTTTTCGACCTATTAGGCAATACCACAGCGATAAAATGTATTTCTAGTCAGTTACACTTAAGACCTTAATAGTTGTGTTAATATGGGCTCGGGTTGCATTTCGGTAAATGGGTCAAAATTCCACGCACACGGAAACAAACATGTTTTTTGCGCGTGGAGCGCAGAACCAGATTCCAGCTGCCACCAGTTAATCCATAACTCGGTCAGGACGCGCCCAGCTCTTGATAAACAGGTGGAAGAGTTTTATTGAAGTCCGAGAAGATAAAGCCAACCAGGAAGTACAGCAGGAAAACATCCAGAAACGGCTGTGGGTCTGAATTAAACCCAGAGTCTGGGTTTGATAGCATGCTGCTAACTGCGCCATCGTTCAGCCAAATACAAAAAAAAAAAAAAAAAAAGAAGACATTTTGTCTGAACTATAATGTGTGTAGTTTCCAAACTCAATGATAAACAACATGTAACAACAACCAAAGGGGCTGCTAAAGTAAATGTAACAAAATATGTTTGTTGCCTGCTTCATCATTGGTGACTGTATTATGTGTTTTTATGATATAAAGCACTTTTAGCTGAAATGTGCCTGTTAGGATAAACCTGACTTGACTAAGTTGTAAAACGGGAAATATGTGACGCTCTTTACTTCACTGCGGCGCAATAAAAGGAATAAAACATACAAAACGAATCTTGATATAATCTCACAAAACAATACCCGAGAAGAGTCCAGTTGTTTACCTGGTTTAAGTCGGTCGCTTTTCACCCAGACTCGGATCTTGCTGCTGTCAAGAAGTGAACTTTCCTCATCAGGTCGGAGAGCCTTCAGGTCCCCAGTGGAAAACGGAAATCTCACACTTCACTTCCTCCACTGTGAAACTGAATCTTCGATAAGAACACGATAAACATGGAACAGAGAAAACAAATGCATGTATTTTTAATTGTTGCTATAAATGATAATCAAGATTCTCTGCATTTATTTTCCAGGTTTTATTCTACTGATTTATTTGGGGCGGAGAGTTTTAGGGCGAAACTCATAATCCCTACGGTCGATTAAGGCAACACATAGATACTCCTGAGCGTCACTGCTGGGAATATGGATGTTTATTGCCCCAAAGTCAAACAGTATGCGTTACATTAAGCTTCAAACGGGAAGCTGACATTGGTGTGTAAATAGAAAAGGATGTGAATTAAGAATTTAAAAAAATATCGACCACTATATTAGTTTATTCTTGTTCTCCTGTCTTGTTTTGAAGATTCAATCTCAGATTTGTTGGCTGCACTTCCATGATAAACCACTAGAGGCGTCCAAATGCTGCTCTGTTGTTTTGCGATGCGTGGACGAACGCTGAGTTTATTGTCATGTTTAATGAGCCAGGTTTAAACTGTTTCCTCTTGGTGACATGGTCCATTACTGTGCTGGAGGCAAAGCCAACAGGAGAGATTGGTGCAAAAGTGATTTCTTCCTGCTGAAAGGAAGTGGTTCCTCTTTCTAAGGTCATCACATGCTGTGATATATAAACTTTTAAAGTCAGTTCTTCTATTTACTTCTATTTTATTATTTTATTCCTGTTGTTGATATTCATATCAAATAGCGTCAAGTTGTAATAATATTGAACATTGCTCATTTAGTTTTCATTGCTGTTGAAATAATATATTGCTGTTATTATTGCTGAATATTGCTGTTTGCTATTGCTGTCCTCACCTTTAGTGAGTACAGCAATATGTGTCCTCACTAAAGGTGAGTTTCTACTGGAGGAGGAAAACAGCTCCCATCTTCCTGTGATTCTGTCAGAATCAACTTAACATTACAGAAAAGCAAACTGAGCTTCTGCAGCCATTAGCTGTGCATCCTGTTAGCCTTTAGCATAGGTTGGGGCTTGTATGTGTCATTAATCACATGACACATAACAAGATTTCACAGAAGCCTGGCTACTAATAAAAAAACTAGAATTTAAATTATTATAATTGTTTTATTTTTTACCTATTTTATGTATTTATATTTTATTTATGTCTTACATGAGCGAGCTGCACAGCGGGGCATTTTGTAGCACCGTTTGCCTCGTTGTAAGAAGGTCCTGGGTTCGAATCCCAGCCTGGGCTAATTATGGATGGAAACCATTCAAACTGGTTTAGTCCTCAGGACTAAACCATGGCCCTGCAAGGAAAGTATAGATGATGCACGGATGAATATTTAAAGTTGAAAGCGGAACCAAAGCTTTGCCATTTCACCTCCAGTCGGGTGAAATGGTTTGGTTCAAATGAGTCTCAGTTAGCAGCTCGTCATGTGAGTGTGAGATTCTTTTAGAATTTTGTTATTGAAATGACCCAGAAACTGGGTGCTGAGGTGTTTAGAGGTATAGAGTGTGATGTCACTGATGATGGTCACTTTTTTCATGGTGTTGGTTGGTGGCGTTCTGGATTCCTTTATTCAGATGCCACAACAACCCAACCACTGACTAGAACCGACCACACTTTCATATATAAGGGTATTAAAACACGCAAAAACAGGGAAGTAATGCATTTTTTAAATGTATGCAGTGGTTTGTGTGTCTAATAACAGTTATGACCTGCTTTTTTTTTCTTTTTAAGCTGAACGCGCTGCATGTTAAGTTGTCGAGTCAGACAACTTGAGGTAAATGTTGTCACAGAGGAATTTACGGTGCCGCTTGCCCAGACCTTTTCCTCTTTTGGCTTATAACATAATCATAATTTCACTATTGTTTCTGTTGGATAACTAATTGAAATATCATACAATATGAGGGAGAGGTGAAAAACGACACGGCAAGTCGATCTTTTTGAAACTTGAACTTTTAATCCCATGGCTCTTCAACGTTTCTATAGGCTTTCAGGGATTAACCTTTGCTTTGATATCTGTTTATGGCGTCTCGAGATCTATTTCGATCTTCCTTTGACGAGTCTCAACCTCTGAAGCAACATGTTTTCGCAGATTATTTAAAAATATTAGAACAATAAAGGTATTTCTAATTAGCTATTCTTCATATCTTAATGACTGTATTATGGAATCTGATAGTGTTTTTGCTAGGATCTGTAGTTCTTTAAGCTTATCACATTGTTTACTGTTTATTTCCTGGAATAAAAGCTTAGAACGCTGATTAAAAAGGTTTTGCTGGTGTTGCTGGAATTGAAGACAGTTGGAAGTGTTGCTGTATTTTAACTGCTTTTTGCTTGTAAATCTTTCTTCATATTTCTTTTTGTAATCAAACTCCTATACCTGGAAGTTTTTGTTTGGTAAATGTCCTTAAATGTAGAGTATAAGTTTCTGTTTCCTTCGTTAAAGCCCCTCATGTAGCCCATAGTGGTACAAACTATAGCTGACTTAAAGGGAAACAGTCTGGGAAAACTGAGATAAAATGTTGTCTCTTGCAGAGCAAAGCATACATATTGCAGATTTCTCTCACACATTCACTGAGTGAAAGGTTAGGAAGACAAGAAACTTTAAAAAAGACACTAATCGTTTGAGGCAGGATTTCCTGTTGACTGCTTGTTCTTCATTTCATTTCTCCACAGAATGCTTGAAATACCAGAAATACATTTACAAGAACACAGAAAGCTTCTAACAACAACATGCAGATGCAGTAAAGCGGGAAAATTCTTTTTTTTTTTTTTGCTTCTGTTTTTACCCCATTAGTTTCAATCCACAGCAGTAAAAAAGAAGGCTTGAGTGGATTTAAAAACTTCATAAGTATCAAGACAACTTCACACAGAGATCACTTTTATAACCCTTTTTCATAATAATGCTGATCACTGAAGCACAATTTGTGACAAAAACAATAAAATTAATCATGACGATAATGAATACACAGCACTGGAAAAGGGGCAGTGTTAAATATACGTTTGCACGTTTTCCGGTTAGCTAGAAATAAGAAGAGGAAGGAAAACTAACCAAGCCCTCAATGTAACTTCCACCCTCAGAGGTGATGCTCTGCAGCGTTGCATTGCAGGACAACAGCTTCTCCTGAGGTGAGCAGCCTGAAAATTACTTTATTTTATAACATATTACAGCTAATGAGAGACTTTTAATGTTGAAAGACTTTCATGATTAACAATTGTAGGAAGATTAAAAGATGTAAAACCTTCTGTTTGATTTTCATTTTGCTGAAACCAAACAGTTAAAGAGAGAAGCAGCGATGAGTTTTTCTGCAGCAGCAACTGGGTTTGTTGCCCTGTTCCTCTCTATGACAGGTACTGAAACACATTGATCAACTCGAATTGACAGACTATCTGCAATATTTGGTGCAAATCAAATTAATGGAAGTAATAACTGTTTAAAATGTCCAGTGGTGCATTGTGGGAGGTGTAGTTGTTATTATTGTGAATGTGATTCATATTTTTGATGTTATTTGTGTTACAGTGGGACAAGTTGAACCTGACTGGTCAGTTAAATATGATCCATCTCAGATCTGTGCCTTGACAGGATCAACAGTGAAGATAAAATGTTCCTATACATATCCGTACAAAATACATGGAATAACAACAAAAGTTAAAACAAGGCTCTGGTTCACTAAAGGAAATAATCAAGTCCCTGTGGATCTGAAGAAGGATTCTGACTATAATGGTCGAATAATTTATAACTTTACAGACAACAGCTGCAATCTGACAATCAAAGATCTGAATCTGAGAGACTCAGCTGAGTACAAGTTCAGGTTCGTAACGAACCAACCAGACGGAGCATTTACTGGTTTACCTGGAGTCATCTTGACTGTAACAGGTAACAGATCTGTGTGTTTGTTGTGAATCTTTGTGTTTCTATTTGCATGTTTCCAGATTGATTTTAAAGTGAGATGTTCTTGTTCCTTCAACCATCCAGACCTCAGAGTTCAGGTCAGAAGATCAGAAATGCAGACGGAGCTGAAGTGTGAAAGCAGCTGTGATCCAATCAAACCTCCTTCATATGTTTGGTTCAACAAGGAGAAGAAAATGGAGGAACAGACTTCTTCTATACTGGTCTCAGTCAGAGATGGAGACAGATTTTCTTGTTCTGTTAAAGGACATGAAGATCTCCGCTCTCGCCCTGTGTGTAAGTTTATTAACATTTTATTCTATCAATATTTCCACATGATCCATAGAATAAACTCTCAATCAAATCAATTGATACACATTTATTGATAAAAAACAGAGTTTTCACCTTTGCATATATTTTCTATGTCTGATTATTAAACATTTACTACGTTTTTGAGCAGCCATATTACTGAATAATTGTTTTTCAATGGTTTCTTTTTGAGTAACAATATAAAGACTTAATGCTGCTGTTGTGGCCATTTATGTTGATATTTTGTACATTGTAATTACTATCAATTTATTTTACTTCTATGGTTAGTTAGAAAATGTTTAAGTTAACTTAGAATTGATGGAATAGTTTAGATGACTTTGTTAACCTGTAGACCCTCCTATTAATTGAAGTAATTAAAGTCTATTGTTTGGCTAATTTCCCCTGTCATGACTGGAGGCTTTTGTAAAATGATTTTTTTTGGCAACTTTTGAACTTAAAACATCAAATCAAGTTAATTTTTCTTTTCATTTAACTTGTAAAACATTTTTAGTAATTGTTGCATCTATATTTTTTCAAGAAAGAAAACATAAATATTTTGGTGGTGCGTTCAAGAACCAAACCACCTGTTGCCACCATAATGTTTGGTGTTGGAGGCCAGAAGGCTGTGGCAGCTGCCCTGATACTCTTTACTCTACTGACCTCCAGCAATCAGTAAAATATCCAGATGATAATGATGCTGAGTTTTATATTTTCCTCCAGATGCTCCAACGTTTACCTCTGCTAACCTGATGACCTCTGGTCAGATAACTGAGGGGCGTTCAGTGACTCTGAGCTGCAGCAGTGATGCTAACCCAGAAGCTAACTACACCTGGAGGAAGAAGAACAACCAATCAATCGTCAGTGAAGACCAACAGTTTGTCTTCTGGTCCATCCTGTCCTCAGACTCTGGACTGTATTACTGCACAGCTCAGAACCAACTGGGAGAGGAAACATCTGGACCCGTCTCTGTCCAGGTCACATGTGAGTCAATCTGGTTTAACTACAAATTTACCAGTATTTTACTGGAACACCAGCAAATAATCCCTGATAGATTTAAATTTCTTCCCCTTTAACAGATTAATGTCTTCACCTCTTTCTCTCAGTTCACCTTTGACCTTTCTGCCCTGTCCTCCAGATGGTCCCAGGCCTCCCTCAGTGTCAGTGACTCCCTCTGGTGAAATCATGGAGGGCAGCCTGGTGACTCTGAGCTGCAGCAGTGATGCTAACCCAGAAGCTAACTACACCTGGTACAAGGAGGGAGAGGAGGCACCAAAAGCTTCAGGACAAAACTTCACCATCACTAACATTATGTTCAAGCAGAGAGGAAATTATTACTGTGAAGCTCAGAACAGCAGAGGGCGCTGTAACTCCACTGTGACTGTGAACGTTGTGTTAGGTAAGTCAAACAGAGGCCACAGTTGGACTCTCAAAAGGTCAGAACCGATCCGGATCCACTGGATCCACTGGAATCAGAATAATCTCCTGGAACCAGAACCGGCTGGAGCGACAAGAAACGGCAGCAGACAATCAGAGAGGGAGGAGAAAACAGGTTGATAATCATCAACAGTCTGGAAATGTGAAACATTGGAGATGAATCTCATGTTAAGAACCTGGAGATACTGATGACTGATTTCCTGAAGAGAAACTATTGTTTATAGCAGTTTGATGTTGAGGAGAAACGCTGCCTTTAATAATAGTAATTAATGGGTCTAATTGCTGCGTACTGAACACTGACTGTCACTGTGATCTGTTCAGCACCAAGGAACCAAGTCGCTGCTGCTGCTGCAGTTCCTGCTGTTTTCCTGATTCTCATCTGCCTCTTTTTGTGGATCCTGTGAGCAGTTCTGTTACTTTGAAGAGTTGTTGTTTTTTTATTTTAACATAGTCTTGATTTTTCATCATCACCTTCTGAAATAATTTCCTTCCAGCAGAAAAACCAAAGTGTGGAAGCAGCAGTCCAGACCTGCAGCAGGACAAGTTCCCAGTGAACAGGTGAGAGAAGAAAATGACTTGTTTGCTCTTTCAACGTTTTCATAAATTCATTGAATTCTTCATTGGTAATGTTATTATGCACCAAGTAGATGAGGGGAAAAAAACACTTGGGTTTACCCTGAAGCTCTTTCAGAGCGCCCCCTACTGGTTAATGTGACTGGTGTCCACAGGTGATCCCAGCAGAGGACGATGTTGCCTACTCTGTTGTCCACTTCGCAACAAAACAGGAAGAGCTTGTTTACTCCAACATCAACCCAACTCAGTCCAAGAGACACAAGAAGAGGAAGGAAGAAGAGATGGTGGAGTACGCCTCTGTTAACTGTGGTAGAACCAGAACTGCTGCAAGGTGAGACACTCTATATGTAAAAAAATAAGATCTGAACTGATATGTTCTTGTTCTGTGTATTATCTCTACTAACATGAAAACAATTCCTGCAGAACTGAGTCTGCACAGCAGGACAGTGTGGAGGATCCAGCTGCCTTGTACAGTTCAGTCAACAAACCAGGAAGGAACATCAGAGAAACTCCTAGTGGTTTATAAATGACTTTTACTTTTATTCTCCACTAGTTTATCCAGAGAAATCCTGTTATAAAGTACTTTTTGGTTTCTCCCGCTTTTCTTTTCTTTTGTTTCTATTTCCTGTAATTCATGTAAAGACTTTGAATTGCCTTGTTGAGGAAAAAGGAAACAGTTTTGATGTCATTTGTATTATTATTATACTCCAGTTTATTCCAGCACAAAGAAATAATATAATTTATTGGATTATGTCAGAATGTGCAACTTAAATTTTATTTGAATAAAGTTCAACCTTAATCCAGCTTTCAGATGATTTGTGTGTTGCAGGTTGGTAACTAATACACAACTTTATACACACAGATCAGCATGATCGCCAAAATAAAAGCCTGAACAGACCTGCTTCAGAAGGGAAGTTTCAACATAGAAACTATTTTTGCTGCAAGTATTTTTACAACCCTTTGAATTTTGTATTGAAGATATGAGTCAATATATTTTATTACATATTTACTATATTTTCAATATTGTTCAACTAAAAGTCTTTCAATTTCAAGTTGAATTGTCAAGTTAGAACTACTGGACCGATCAGGCCCATTTTAAATGTTTTGGATGATTTGAGATATTAGCAAGATTTTAATTTTAAGCATAAATTGCTTAAAAGAGAAAGTCAATATACCATTGGTGGCATATGATTGGGCCACTATGTTCATGTTACTAAAACATTCGAGTGAAACTCATGTGAACTTCCCATATTACAATAAGTTGCATTATCACACCTAAAACTATGAAACATTGCAGAGGAGTTCAGCTCTCCAGTGTTGTGTGTGGCTCTTAAAAGAGCCGTTGTGTTGTTGTCCGAGCTGTAGCAGCATTAGCTTTAGCATTAGCTGGTCTACTTGGAGCTGGTGTACTTGGTGACCGCCTTGGTGCCCTCAGACACGGCGTGCTTGGCCAGCTCACCGGGCAGCAGGAGGCGCACAGCGGTCTGGATCTCCCTGGAGCTGATGGTGGAGCGCTTGTTGTAGTGAGCCAGACGGGAGGCCTCGGAGGCGATGCGCTCAAAGATGTCGTTGACGAAGGAGTTCATGATGCTCATGGCCTTGGAGGAGATGCCGGTATCGGGATGGACCTGCTTGAGTACCTTGTAGACGTAGATGGCGTAGCTCTCCTTCCTGGTCCTTCTCTTCTTCTTGCCTCCTTTGCCGGCGGTTTTGGTGACCGCTTTCTTGGAGCCCTTCTTGGGCGCAGACTTGGCGGGTTCAGGCATGTTTCCTCTCCGAGTTTACAGCAAACAGTGAGCAGCAGCGGAGGGAAGCTGCTGTTATACAGAGAGAAACTCCTCTAGTACCGCCTCCTGGCTGTGATTGGCTGAGCCAGCAAGCAGGGCGGGGCTGAGTTCAGCCAGAAGATGATTGGTTGAAAAGTTGCGCCTGATTTAACAGAAGAAAATCGGCGGGAGGAAACTGAACGTTCTCACGTTCACTTTCTATAACCTGTAATGTATGAGGGTTTATACCGATATAAATATATTTCCTACACATTTCTGTTTTATTCTTAACTAGTAATTTTATTTGAAACCAACCAACTTGTGAACCTGCGAGTTGATGAAAACATCCATGTTTCATATGAAAACTTTGATCTTTGGGTGTAAAAATGTACAACAGAGATAATGTTTAGAGTAAGAAGAAAGTGTGAAATCCTTTTAACATAAATGTTCAGCAAACATTGTTACTCTTAACTGGTTCCTTCGCACCAGATAATTCTCAGTCATGGTTTTCAGGCAACATGAATTAACGTGAGTTTTGTGACGTGAACAAGAACCTTGACCCCATCAGCAGCAGTTGTTGGCCCTGAAAAGGGCCTTTGGTTCGCTGTAATGTGAGTTTAACCCCCGAAGCCGTACAGAGTGCGGCCCTGCCTCTTGAGAGCGTACACCACGTCCATGGCGGTGACGGTCTTCCTCTTGGCGTGCTCGGTGTACGTCACGGCGTCACGGATGACGTTCTCCAGGAAGACCTTGAGCACCCCGCGGGTCTCCTCGTAGATGAGGCCGGAGATCCGCTTGACTCCCCCGCGGCGAGCCAGACGGCGGATGGCGGGCTTGGTGATTCCCTGGATGTTGTCTCGGAGGACTTTGCGGTGGCGCTTGGCGCCTCCTTTGCCCAAACCTTTCCCTCCTTTGCCTCGTCCGCTCATCGTGACTCTAAGCTAGTTCTCTGCAGTAATGAGGATGTAGCGGGTTCAGCAGCATTTGTAGCGGGACTGCGGACGTGTTAGAAGACAGGGGAGAGGGTTACCTGAGCCTTCCCTTTGGCGCCACCTACTGATCAACATCAGGAGAGACAATTATGATTTATTGCTGTTTTTCTCAAATATTCATTTCAATATGATAAAGTTAATAGATGACTATTGCATTATATATCATCATGTGGACAGATAATAATTATAACTAAATATCTGACAGAATAGTAGATGTATGACAATAGATGCAGCACATGATTATTAATGGCAGCCTGTGTGATGGTAGAAAGATCTGGAAAAATAAAGAACTGATGGAGAACTGCAACATAATAAAGTTTAATTTGTCAAATAAATTAGATTTAAACTTGCTCTGTGCTTTTTCTCTTGATCCCTGCAGCTTCTTTAGACATTTATAAGATTATTGTGATCGACTGTCCAAAGGAGCTTTGAGATGTAACAAGGATTTTAGATGAAAAATGAAGTTTAGATACAGCGCTGTGATTTACTAAATCCTCTTGATTGAGAGAATATTTCTAAATATGGGTTTAATTACCGCTACTATAAAAACAACTAGATTTGTGACAACAATGGAGGCAGGAATCATTTCTCTAAATAACTGAGATCAGATCCAATAAACAAGATGAAGGTTTAGATTAAGCCAATATTTTTATAACTAAGGAAAATAAATCATCATCAAACATGTTTTATAGCTACATCACAAGGATGAAATGATGTCATTTTGGACAGAGCCAAGAAAGTTTGTTGCCTCCGGTGGATTTCCGGGCGGTCTGCTTGGTTCTCGCCATGTTCTGCCGCTTTCTCTACCGAATCACAGAGAAAAGTGTGAGAGGGAGCTTTGAGCCGCTGCTGTTACAGTGAGGGAGCAGCAGAGAGGAGGAGACGCTGCTGGACGTGTTGGGCTCCTGGCGATTAGTCTGTGCTTTACTTACAGTCTGCAGTAATGCTGAAGGAAGATTGAAGGTTTCCTTTTTAAAAATGAATTCATGATTAGGATTTCATCCCCTCAGTTTACATCCTCTCATCACCAAAATCAAAGTAATGACAATTTTGCAGTAATGCTGAAGATCAAACAATTTTTCTGAGACATATTTGATGTGTGTTTATGATCACTTACTTATGGAAGCCCATTTCCACCACTGTGTTAAAAAAATAAAATAAATTATCTCAAAAATAATGAGACAGATAGGGAATGTTTACAGGCAGAACAAACAATAATAGGAACAGTTTATTGTTATTGCATCTTTTTATGAGACACATCTGTGTTGACAGGTGAAGTTGTTACACTGCATTCATATTCGTAATAAAATCATTTTCTGATTTTTTATTTTTTTTGTATTTCTTGCACATTGGATTTCTTTTTGTGGAAGGTTATGAAAAGAGTCTTTTTTGTTTTACTGGGCACAAATTTCTTTGTCTTAAATTTTTTAAACTAGAGCAATATACACCAAGACAAGCTTTTTAAGCACTTCTGATTCATTTTGGGGAATTTCAAAAAGATTAATTGTTCTTTGTTGGCAGAATACAAAATAAATACATTTTCACTAAAGAGTTTGTTTATGATTTGCTGTTGCACTGTAAATAAAATGATTGGCCAAAATACCGAAAAGCATATATATGTCAAGACTAATGATAACATTTGTACTATTATTAAACTAATACCAACTGCAAATAATAAGAGATTAGTTGGAAAACTGTCACAAATGGTTATCTGTTAGTAATAACATGATTAAAACATTGAACGAACATGTAACACTCCTGTCCATATAGAAACAGTTTCCCTGACCAAGTAAGGGAAAGAAAACTGAGAAACTGCAAATATTAGCACTATCTAGTGCTGTTTTGAACAAGAGCCAAGTATTTTGCAATAATAAATAAGATGGAATACATAGAAATGAATAGATTTACCTTGACTGCACTTTCTGTATCTCATTATTTCATGAGATGTCATTATAATTAGATATTAATATGGTAATATGTCATTAGGTAATATGTCATTAATTTGATTTATTATCTCTTTATAATGAGATAGTATCATTTTATTGAGATACTATCTTAGTACTTTGAGTCACTATCTCATTATAATGAGATATAATCTCATTATAATGAGGTAATATCTCATTACCTTGATTTACTATATCTTTATAATGAGATAGTATCATTATATTGAGATACTATCTCATTATTTTGATTGACAATTGTCATTATATTAAGATAGTATGTCATTACTTTGAATCACTATCTCAATATAATGAGATAGTATCTGATTATAATGAGGTAATATCTCATTACTTTGATTTACTCTCTTTATAATGAGATGATAGTATCTCATTATTTTGAGTTACTATCTCATTATAGTGAGATAATTTATTTGATTTTTTTAACCGAGTGGCAGCAATGGGCTTCTATACTTACTAACTTGTACACTCAGCTGGATTGAAGTTTTACTCATCAGACACAAAGTGACACTTCAGACTGAAACTAGACAGAAAGGGAACAGCCCAGAAATCACAAAGTGCCTTTATCACAAGCTAAATATTTGATGTATGTTTAACATTAACATGGACTATTAGGATGGTTGGCAATGGCAGGCTTTCAAATCTCATAACACTGAACTGACTCTCATAAATAGGTTCAATAACGTCATGTTGAGGGTCTGAGGATGGGAGAGCTAGTTCTATGTATGTGGCTTGTTTAATGTTGTCGTAGCAACTGCTTTCCAAGATGGCTGCCGGTTACAAAGTTCACGGAAGTAGACGTTACATGAGGACTACGCAGTTTTTATCTAATGTGCACAAATTTTTTTTGTACTGTGGGAGGAAGCCGGAGCACCCGGAGAAAACCCGCTCATGTTCATGGAGAACATGCAAACCCCGTTGCATCTTACATCTTTCGCAAATTTGTTCACTGTACATTGACATAGCCATCCATATCGTGATGACTGAGATCTCGGAGCAAATTAAAAGTGAGGCAGATGTAACGTGCCATCACTCAAGCTATTTGACATGTCTTTTTAACTCGTTTAACTAACCTTGCTTTCCCAGCCTGCAAGGTTTGTTTTGTAATAACTTTCCTGGAGTCCTTCTCTTTCACGGTGGCTATTTCCTTAATCCTGTCTTCAAACGCCGTCTCTGGAGGAGCAGAAGTTAAGGATTTAATCTCAGCTGCTTTCTTTTCATCGCTAACTCCCCCAGCCGGGGAAGTTGGTTCTTCTTCAACATCAGAGACAGTGATTTCTGTCTGTCATTTCATCGGCTGGGGAAGTGGGTTCTTCAGGAATCTCTGTCTCTACAGCGGTCTCTTCTGATTCCTCTTTTGTCAAAGCATAAGTTATTTTTTGAGTCTAGAAACAACTTTCTAGAGTTTCCGTGGGGAAGGCATGAAGAGATAAGCATCAAAAATATCATACTCAGAGACGAAGCATTCATCCTGAGAATTTTCTGAGACCACTTCCCCAGCCAGGGAAGGGCTGAAAAAAATCAGTACCAAAATCAGCGATGCGCTGGTCCTCAGAAGGAGTTATTGCGAATTTGGTACTCGGAGAAAGTTTATTTATAATTTTTCTTATGGCTGTGGTAACCAAGTAGCCTGCGCAGAAAGACAGGGGGGAAAAGGGTTAGGGGTTAGGGAAGGAAAAAATAAAACACTTCTGTATAAACAAACCGACTATAACCAAGGCATTTTTTCCAGTAGCCTGCCATACAGAACATGACTCCATCATGTTGTGTACATCGATCCGAAGCCCCAACAAGTAAGCTAGAGAAAGGTTTTAAGATGTTCCCCTCGTTATACATTCACAGATACAAAGGCGAATTTTACTTTCTTTAAAATTTGTGGCTTAAGTTAGCTTCAGCTTATGCTAGTAGGTAATATTCTCGGACAATTTTTCTTGTAAAAATCTGCTATTCAAATATCTAAACATTTCTCATCCATTCTAACGGACAATGTTTGTACCTTATTTCCAAGTATATTACATGTATTTATTGTTAATGACGTGGGGCAGAGGTCAGATTACTGTTCAGGCTTTTTGCTTCCAAAGCCAGACGAAGCACAACGAGCCCGTAGTTTAACAGTAGAGCAGCTCTGGTATCTGAGTTCTAGTTCAGCTGACTGGTCAGGTTCAGAGTCATTACTTTTAGAAAAATATGGCCGTGCTGCTTAAGGTCTCTTTGTTATTACGTTTCATTACTTTTGGATGCTTCTTGTGAAAGGCTCAATAGGACGGTGTTTACAGCAGTGTGTACAGGCGGATCAGTTGCTCGGCTGTCTGGTTCTGCTCTCTCGTTCCCAAACACTCGCTCTTTCAGGCTAAATACAGAAGTGATTCAATGGAAATAACACAAGAAGGCTCCTTTGTCTTTGTCTTTAGGCTGAAGAAGCTGATCAGGAGTGAAATGAAGGCTGCAAACTTTGTTGTGCGGCGTTAGCTTTAACTGGTAGAGACGAATATTTACAAGCCACTGTCTTCTTAATTCACGATTGCTTGGAAATCCATGAAAACGTAAACAAAGTGCATAGTATTATTTTATTTGTGTCTTAAGTACGACTTTGTCTTTTATAGCAATCATAGTAACTGAAAGCGGCAAAAAGAGAGCCGCATTTGCGCATGCAGTTGTGACATCAGCACGGCAGGTGCAAAGAGCCCATTACAATCAGGTATAACATATTTTCCTGACAGGTGATCGTATAGTGATTGTTGTGATTTAACTATTTAACAGCGACCTCTAGTGTTTGACAGAAAACAAAGCTGGTCACGTCATGTCCTCATGAAAACAAGGAATAAGGAAAAGACAAACTGGCAAATACTGCAAATCGACAAACTGAACTGAAAAAAACAACAAATGACAAACATATCTGACAACATAAATTTCTGACACCCAATGTAACATAATTACCTGTAATGAATGGTTAACAACAAACAGCAAAAAATGTAACCCTGTCCATGTGGGATGAAACCTCGCTGTACATGAGAACTACGCACTTTTTATCTAATGTGCACAAAATGTCATAGAGTGTGGTGGTGGAGGTGGTGAGGCAGACGCTAGAGACCCAGGTAAGTTGAATGGCGAGTAATTTAATGAAAATGATCCACAAAAAC